TTATTAACCAAATGTAGGTTATTTATGAACCAATTTTCCTCAAACAATTTTCCATTGCTTCTTTCACATCCTTGTTCCTCAAGCTGTAGATGATGGGATTCAGCATGGGAATCACAATGGTGTAAAACACAGACACTATCATGTCGTGGTCCGAGGCGTAGCTGGAACTTGGCCTCACATATATGAACAGGATTGTTCCACAGTAAATGGACACTCCAGTTAGATGAGAACCACACGTGGAAAACACCTTTCGCCTCCCTTCAGCAGAACGCATCCTCAGAATGGGCACCAAAATGAAGCCATAGGACATCAGGACAATCAGGATGGTGAAAATCTCAATGGAACCCACAACAAAGAAGACTAGAAGCTGATTGATGTGAGTGTCAGAACAGGAGAGAGCAAGAAGTGCAGGGATATCACAAAAGACATGTCTGATTTCATTGGATGCACAGAAGGAGAGGCTGAAAGTTGCCACTGTCTCTAAAGTACCATGCAAAATACCAGCAACATAGGAAGAAATGATGAGCGGCATGTAGACTCTGGATGACATCTTAACTGAGTACAGAAGTGGGTTGTAGATTGCTACAAAGCGATCATATGCCATGGCTGCTAAGAGAAAGAATTCTGTGGTCCCCAAAGTGACAAAGAGCCACATCTGTGTAGCACATCCAAGGAATGAAATGCCCTTATTCTCAGATAGGAAATTGACCAACATTTTTGGGGTGACAGCTGAAGAAAAGCAGGCATCTAAGGAGGACAGTACACTAAGAAAGTAGTACATGGGGTTGTGGAGTCTGGAATTTATCACAACTAATAAAACCAGTCCCAAATTTCCTACCAGAGTAAAAATATAGATGGCAAGAAATAATAAAAAGAGAAAGACCTGCAGCTCAAAATCATCTGTGAAGCCCAGCAATATAAACGTGGTGACTTCAGAGACATTCTTCGACTGAATCCTGTATAGATCCAGTGCTGATGACAACAGTGGCATTTCGGTTGTTATTTTTAGGTCTTAAATGCAATTGGAGGGGTCGCTATGAGTCGGGTTTGACTCCACGGCACATAACAACAACAACAAAAAGTGGTGCAAATGGTTAGAGTGTTTGCTGCCAACTCAAAGTGGCAATTGGCTGGTTTAATTCTACTCAGAAGCACCTCAGAGGAAAGGACTGATTATTTACTATCAGAAACCAGCAGCTGAAATACCTCCAAAGCATAGGTCCACACATTAGATCACCTTGAGGTGGAATCGCTTAGATGGCAGCTGGTAAATACAATATCCTGCAAAACAGAGCACCCTTATTACACCCTCACACCTGTTTCTTAGAAGGCCATAATAATATTCTAGGCAGTGATGGGTTATACAGTGACAAAGGAGTTCAGCTCATGCGGATATAATTTCTGTGTAAATAAAAGAAAGAAATGCTTTCATTCATTTATGGGTTAAACTTTTCAAGTTAAAAACAAACAACTAAACAAACAAACAAAGCTGCCTGATCATGTTGTTCCTAAATTATATGATATTTTTAAATTTAAAAAGAACAGTGAATGGAGAGCTCTTTAAACCACAACCTTATACAGGAAAGTACACAGTATTTGTCTTAAATAAGCTACAGCAAGTGTGAGTGCCTTTCCTTCATGTTCACGTGTATAAAATGAGAGCAATAGCAGGTATGTCACCAGACTGAGTTAAATTCATTGAAAATGATTTTATTTTAAAATGTTCTGTGAGGACTAGAAAGTAAAGGAAGTTAGACTTACCTTTTACCTTGTCTTAGAAGACAGCTGCATTCATTCCTCAATTATTGAGTAACTCATCATTCAACCTCTCTTTTACCACATTAGTGACAATCTGCTATCCAAATATTTTGCCATAAGCAACTCATGTCTGGCCATGACAAATGCTGAAGATGAGACATGAGTAACTCTGGCTGTAGTGATTAAGTTTATGCGTCAATTTAGCCGGGCCATGAGTCTCACTGGTTTGGCAGCTATGTAATGATACAATTTGGCAGTTATGT